GCTAATTGATAGGGGTCAGGGAGGAGAGTTACTGTTCATCATCTAAAAGGGAAGGATGTATTTTATGTTACAGCTAGACACCTGTGTGGAAGTACTGCCAAAGGGGAGTTTGTAATGGATCCCAGTGAGGTCACAGTTAGAGGATTCTTCCAGTATATTCCTGATGAGGTATTCAATAACAGATTTAAGTGGTACTTAATGTTTCCCCACTGCATGCTGTCAGTAGACTTGAAACAAAATCGACCTGGAGTGTAGCTTTGAACTTGGTAAGCCAGGGGAGCTTAGTAGAACTTTACTGATGAGCTTGCAAAAGATAGGTTTAGTTCATAAAGGTATAATTAAAAACATGGCAGCGTGAAACTTGATAAAGCCCACCTTTTAAATAATTCAGGAGATGAAACATTACTTTTCCTTCTACCCCTTGATGGTATGTCTCTGTAGATATCAAGGCCATTTTATTTAAAACTTATTACTGTACTTGAAAAGAAAATGTATTCCTATGCTCTTGTAATTTTGTTTTGCAAAACTGTATAGGAAGAATGTTCAGAATGAGTTACCAAGAAAATTAAAATGTGCAAAAAGTAATTTGCTTTGGAATGTTTTGTAATAACCATTTGAAAATTCAGAAAAGTCATGTATTTGATGGGCCATGTTGGGTAAGAGCACTTCATATTTTGTTCCTTATCATTCCAACTTCAGGGGCTGGAGGAGAGGGAGAGGTTCTGGTTTTGCTGGCCTTGCTCCTCAGCTGACCTGACTTTTGGGGTTTGACTCTGGCCTGGCCACATGGTGATTAGGGCTGAGGACACTTTATCATTGGCCCAGTTAAAGTTAATCATTAGATTTCTGAGTAAACAATTGGTAAGGGGCAAAAAAGGGGGTCCCTTTCTATAGCCTTACTGATCTGATATGATATCAGCTTAATGCTGTTGGTTTTGCCCAGCAGGAGGATCCCTGGACCAAGAATGCAGCCAGCATGAAAGAAAGCAGAATCCAGTGGTAGAGATGGAATCTTAGCTTTCTTGATGACTTGACAATAGCCATACCTGGAACATGTTCCTTAGAACCTTTTAGTAGCATAATTAAAACAAATCTATTTGTTGACTAAGCCAGGATGGGTTTTGTTACTTGAAACAAAATTAATATTAACTCCCAAAGTGAGCCATTTCACTTTCTGTCCTTCTAGCTCTAATTTCAATATAAAATTCAATGCACTCTCCCTAGTATGGTAGTAGTATGGCTCTGCCAACTACTTCTCTATTCTGCCCAGCCCCTTCTCATTTAACAAAGGCCCTTGCAGATTACACACCTCATTTAGCTGTTGTCATGAGTATCTCACTATCTGATCTTCTGTCCATGGCAGGGTCATCCTTCAACGGATCTCTGGAAAAATTCACCTCCTTTTGAATGCCTTCTTTGTGACTCTTCTCATTTTGCTTCTCCAAGTGTTTTACACTGATCATAGAACATAATTGACACTTCATTATCTATTGTCATTCTGTAAGTCAATGTTTAATATTATTATTCATTTTATAGATAATGTTCCACTTCCACTGAAGAGGTGAATAAGAGCTTTGCTCATGTTTAGGTTTCAGCTCATCACATTCACAAGACTGTCTCCTCTTATATTAATATTATATTTGAAAGTCATGTATAAATGCCACTTGAATAAAAAGATGAGAGGTTTGCTGGTAACATATAAGTAGAAAATTCATAGTTCCAATTTCCTTACATTAGTATACTTACATTTTCAATTCAATTGTATAGTTCTTTTGTACATAGTGTCTGTATTCTAGTATCTTTATGACATATAAAGATATATTCTAATATCTTTGTGTAGTTCTTTTGTACATAGTGCTGTATTCTAATATCTTTGTGACCTAAGCTCTACTAGGTCCTCCCTAGTAGAGCTTAGCCACATAGCAGGTACTCAGTGCTAATTTTCCTTTCCTCTTCTTATTGTCTCCTATTAACATTATTTCAAGATAAAAGTTTAAGTCCTTAAAATGGCCCACAAAGCTCAGTCTTCCTCTTATGACTTTACTGCCTTCATGTCCTACCATTCTCTCTCTATCCATCCACTGAGCTGCTCTGACCCTCTTGTTGTGGTGGAAATGTACCGGCTGTGCTCCTGCCTCAGGGCCTTTGCACATTCCATTGCCTCAGCTTGATGTACTCTATATGTGACTCTGTCCTTCCACCTTTTCAAATCTGTGCTTTAATCTCACTTTATGTCCTACTTAAAATGTCGTGTTATATCCCTGTCTACAAGCTCTCCTCATCTCCCTTATCCTGCTGTTTTTCTCTGTAACACTTTTCACTTTTTTCAGATCATGTGATTTAGTTATTCATTATATTTAGTGCCGCATACAATATAAGAGAATAGGGGCTCTGTTTCCCACCACCCCCCCCACCTCCGTTGCTGTACTGCCATTCTTACAAAAGTGCCTGGCATATTTGAGACACTCCATAACTTTCTAACAAATAAATTGTAAAATTCTAACAAATAAAATTTAAATTTTTTTTTTAACATTTATGTACTTACTCCACTCACCTGTCAAACTAAACTGGCTCTCTCCTGGTCTTCTGTGTCCTGAGTGACTGGCTCCCACACCACCACCCACAAAAACTCATACCTCTTGTCTGCAGGGTCCTCCCACCCATCTTTACTTAATTATTTTAAAACTTTGTAACCTACAGTGTCCGAAGATACTCTCTTTCCTCTCAGGTCCCATGATATTTATGATTTGTACCACTCCTTTGAAGATATGTGAGGCCTTGTTTTTTATGTAAATTTCATGTATTATCTTTTTCCCCTCAATGTTTATGTTTCATTCTTGAACATAAGAAAAAAACAATTTGTACAGTCAGTCCTTTATAATTATATTCTGGTCATTTAATCATTAATTAGGAAGATAATTAGTAAGTGCATGATGCAAGACAATACTGTGCTAAGATTAGGGAAATAGAAGCTCCCGGCTCCCTGTCCTTAGTGAGTTTATTGACTGGTGTTGAAGAAAGTCAGAAAAACAGATAACTACAAAGTATGGTAGAAGAATAGGGAAAATAAATGGAGCAAGGTGAGAAGGACTGTGCCATGACTGGAAGAATTCTTAAGGAAGGGATACATCAATAATGTCTTCTGGGGAGAGAAATGACTTAAGAATTAAGAGTGAAAAGAATGAGAAAAGTGTAGCAGGCAGAAGAACCAACTCAAAGTTTGACTAACTCTAATTCTTTACAAAGGCAAAGAAAAGAAACAGCATAGTTTCATGTGTGTATGTGAGATGACAAGCAATGATAAATGGGAGAGTGAGAGAAGGGACAGCGAGTTAGGAAAGCAAACACAGTCTTCTCTGTTTACTTTCTGGCATACACACACACACACACACACACACACACACACGTATAAATGCATGTATTTTATTTCTGGTTTTTTTTTTGAGCATTAAACTGACTTATTTCTAGAATAATCTACCAAGTGAAATTTGAAGTAGCAAAATAATTTTAGGAAAAATGAGAGCACACATCACTAACGCTAAGTGTTAGACTTCAGAAATTAAAGATTTCGCAAACTCTAGTATGACTGTATTAATCTCCTAGTACCAGACCTGTAATTGTTTAGATTATTTGACACCAAATTCATCTTCAGCTGCTTTCTCTTTTTTCTTTAAATTTGGAATGTAATCTGCCATAAGTACGTGGTCCATTATCCTTTGGGAAGAGCATACACTTGCTCCATGTCAGCCTCCAAGTTCAATCAATCGCCCTCAGGAATCATCTCTGATGAATCTTTCCAGCATCAGTGATTACAATGATGTTCTTTCTGTTTGGGGATTTTAAGTAACAGGACAATCAGGACATGTTCCTTTTCATCTTTGCCTCCCATAATTTTCTTTAGGAGAGACCTTATCAAAAATGCTTGATTTTTCCCCCTAATTATAACTCTTCAAAGGAGAGAAAATGAGACTTGGAGCCCAGGTTTCCTAGCTAATGCTTCTAGGACCACAGCTGCTCCATACAGCTTTTGAAGTTCTCTCTGCTCACCTCTTGAAGCTGCAACCCTCTTAATAGCCGTATTAGCTATTTCAGCTCCATTTTTCTGACAGTCTTAATGGAGAGAGTGAGGGAAAACCTTTCATGTAGGACTTTGTTGCCCTGATATGATGCTTGAAAGATAAAAATAATTCTGATTTATCTAATCCTGGCACATACTTGTATCTGTAGTGTCTTTGCTTAGTAAGCAGGAATGGCTTTCACTGGGTCTTTCTTTATTTCCCATTTATAGTGGAGGTTAGAACCCTATACAACCAATTTAAAAGACAATGACTCAAGGATGCACCAATTCATTACAATGCAGACATAAGATCTGAATTAAACTCCAAACACTCCAAATAGGAAACTCTCTATTTCTAGTCGGAAATGACTAGTGAATAAGAAAAAAGTTATTAAAATCATTTCTTCTCACAGCTAGAGAGGAAAAAGTAAAAGATATGATGTTACCAATTAAAATAAGAAAAACAATGTGCAATAAAATCAATCCTGTCCTTTAGTGGAAGGTGATTTTAACATTTGTAAGTTTAGTTGTATAAATGCAGGCAAACCATACATGAAGTCATTTTTACCCAACACCTGACAATGCTACTGCTCTGGATACTTACTTTGCTTTCCAGAAAGGGCAGAAGAGAGTCAGAAGCAAGTTCTGCCTCTTGTTGAAAAAGAAGCTGTTGAAGTTGTTGATAGTATTTTCATTCATCAGTTTTGATGTGGACGTTGAGAAAGAACCACACGTAAGCACCTGTCTTGGCATATTCTGAACACTGACTTATTTCATGGATCTATTAAATCCATTTAACTCTTCACAAGCATTTTTTACTTTTTTGGATCTTATATGAAAGTATATTTGAATATACTTTGATTCTGGAGGAAGAGGGAACAGAAAACCTGTGTAAATTTGAGGAGGGATAAAAACTGTTGTGTTTGTCCTTTTTGTTGTGTAGGAGAAAAGCAACGATAGCCCATAGATGATCTGAAAACAGAATGAATTGGAACACTTGTGCTTGAAAGGAAAGTGAAGTTTCTTGTACAGTCAAGGTAACTGGACACATCTTTTTTTATTATTTTATTATTTTTTAATTGCATTTTAGGTTTTGGGGTACATGTGAAGAACATGTAAGATTGTTGCATAGGTACACACATGGCAATGTGATTTGCTGCCTTCCTCCCCATCACCTATATCTGGCATTTCTCCCCATGCTATCTCTCCCCAACTCCCCACCCCCGGCTGTCCCTCCCCTGTTCCCCCCGATAGACCCCAGTGTGTGATGCTCCCCTCCCTGTGTCTATATGTTCTCATTATTCAACACCCGCCTATGAGTGAGAACATGCAGTGTTTGATTTTCTGTTCTTGTGTTAGTTTGCTGAGAATGATGGTTTCCAGGTTCATCCATGTCCCTACAAAGGACACAAACTGATCATTTTTGATAGCTGCATAATATTCCATGGTGTATATGTGCCACATTTTCCCTGTCCAGTCTATCATCAATGGGTATTTGGGTTGGTTCCAGGTCTTTGCTATTGTAAACTGTGCTGCAGTGAACATTCGTGTGCATGTGTCCTTATAGTAGAGTGATTTATAATCCTTTGGATATATACACAGTAATGGGATTGCTAGGTCAAATGGAATTTCTGTTTCCAGGTCCTTAAGGAATCCCCACACTGTCTTCCATAGTGGTTGAACCAATTTACTCTCCCACCAACAGTATAAAAGTGTTCCTATTTCTCCACGTCCTCTCCAGCCATTTGTTATCTCCAGATTTTTTTAATGATTGTCATTCTAACTGGCATGAGATGGTATCTCAATGTAGTTTTGATTTGCATTTCTCTAATGACCAGTGATGATGAGCATTTTTTCATATGTTTGTTGGCCTCATGTATTTCTTCTTTTATAAAGTGTCTGCTTGTATCTGTCCACTTTGGAATGGGCTTGTTTGTTTTTCTCTTGTAAATCTGTTTTAGTTCTTTGTAGATTCTGGATATTAGCCCTTTGTCAGATGGGTAGACTGCAAAAATTTTTTCCCATTCTGTTGATTGCTGATTTACTCTAATGACTGTTTCTTTTGCCGTGCAGAAGCTGTGGAGTTTGATTAGGTCCCTTTTGTCTATTTTGGCTTTTGTTGCCAATGCTTTTGGTGTTTTGGTCATGAAGTCCTTGCCTGCGCCTATGTACTGAATAGTTTTGCCTAGATTTTCTTCTAGGGTGTTTATAGTGTTAGATCTTATGTTTAAGTCTTTAATCCATCTGGAGTCAATTTTAGTGTAAGATGTCAGGAAGGGGTCCAGTTTCTGCTTTCTGCACATGGCTAGTCAGTTTTCTCAACACCATTTATTAAACAGGGAATCCTTTCCCCATTGCTTTTGTCAGGTTTGTCAAAGATCAGATGGTTGTAGATGTGTGGTGTTGCCTCCGAGGCCTCTGTTCTGTTCCATTGGTCTATATCTCTGTTTTGATACCAGTACCATGCTGTTTTGATTACTGTAGCCTTGTAGTATAGTTTGAAGTCCAGTAGTGTGATGCCTCATGCTTTGTTCTTTTTGCTTAGAATTGACTTGGCTATGTGGGCTCTCTTTTGGTTCCACATGAAGTTTAAGGTGGTTTTTTCCAGTTCTGTGAAGGAAGTCATTGGTAGCTTGATGGGGATAGCGTTGAATCTATAAATTACTTTGGGCAGTATGGCCATTTTTAACAGACCTACGTTTCTGTAAATCATTTCTGGTGCAAGTATCATTTCAAAGTATACTTTTCAATCATATTCCGTACTTGTTCTTTGAGAGTTAATTGATATGCATATTTTCAGAGTTGTGTTATTGTTTCAATAGTGTAGCTGGAGCTTCACAGGAAGGTGCTATAGTATAGACAGAAAACAAAATGGGTTGGCAACTGGTACATGATGATCTGCTCTCTTATTGGGGTCCTTCTCTTGGTGTTATTTGACAGCATATATTCTAGAAACCTTAGTATGGGACTACAGTGGGCAAAACTCCATCCTTTGGTAGATAGATTTATTTCTGAAGGTTGTGAGAAAACTCAGTGTTAATCTATTGGAATTTGATGCATAGATAGTTAGGTTTAAGGAAAATATTTCATCCTGTTTCTGCAAATTGGGAATTCGAGACTGTTTTCTAAGACACTGAGATTCTGGAAGCTTTCCTGCTGATGGTGAATGTCTAGCTTTGCCTCATATGACAACTGGAATTGCCCTGGCATTTCCAGTAGAATAGTTTTATCTCCCGTCTTTTGATGGCCTTGTTCTACCCTGGAAATAAGTTTGGAGAACAGAGTTCTCTTACACCATCATAACTACATACCTCTACCTGCTCACCACACTGGTGGCTGCAGCAGAAAAGTATGGAGAGCTCTGACCAGTAGAGCAACGTCTTGGGAATCTCACTGGTTGCTACAGCTTATAGCATTGTAAGAGCCCGGGCAGAGGGGCTCTGGGGATCTTGTACCTGACAGTCCTCTAGGGGACTCAGAAACAGCTGGGAGACATTTGAAGAGAGAGTTGTCAAACATGGAAATTCCTGAGTAAACATTGCAGAGCAAAATCAATTCCCCAAACATCTCTATCTGAATGCCACAAAAATAATAAAGCAAATAAGAAAAAAGTTGGCCAGCAAAAACTAAGTAAGAAAAAGATTTATCCGTCCTGTCATACGCTTCTAAAAGATACAACCTAGAGAAATTTTAAATAAAATTACTAAAGTTCTTAATTATATCCGCTTTTGTAAGATGTGGCACTGGAGATCAGTGAGTCATCAAAATTCTAAGAGCTCTTATTCATTTTCTACAATCTTGGGACCATCAAATTAAGGATGTTCAATTGAATCTAGAGAAAAGCAAGGAATGATTCCAGTAACGGTGGAAGACTCACCTGCTTCCAAGGAATGTTGCTGGAAGCTGAAGGAATTCACGGTGTTCCTAGAATCTGTGGTGAATTAGGGCACTGAACTGAATTCTTCAGGCATTCCTTCCATTAAATATGTAACAACCACAGCAGGGTGGAGAGTACCCTGATAGAAAGACATTAAACCATCTCTTGGATACCAGGGACAGTCAAAATTTGTGCTGTGGGCTGACCACTGATCTTGTGAATAAAGTTTTTTAGAACACAGCTATTCCCATTTGTTTAGGCATGGTCTATGGCTACTTTTATGCTAAAACACCAGAGTTGAGTAGTTGCAATAGAGACCACAGTGACACAAAAAAGTTCACACATTTACTATGTATCTCTTTACGGAAAAAGTTTGCCTATTCTTGTCATAGAAGAAAGTGGGGAGTTTAGGTTTGCCAGCAAAGAAAACCACACTCAGATAAGATGAATAGTGGAAAAGACATTTTACTAATTGCTTTACAGAATATGCAGAAAGGCTAAATAAAGATATCTACATTAAGTACAGTAAGTTAAGAATAAGAAGGAGAAAAATGGTATGGTGTTGGTGTCAGCAAGTCTCTCTCTCTCTCTCTCTCTCTCTCTCTCTCTCACTCTCACTCACACACACACACACATACATAACATGAGTGCACACAAAGGAAAGAATCACAAAATCCAGTTTGGGATAAAACATAACTTAAGGAAAAATAGAAATATTGCTTTATACCATGAAAATTACTAATTAGAGTAAAACTTAAGGAAACATTTCAAAGACAAGATGATAAACCAACATAAATTGATGAACATAAATATAGAGCTAAGTAAATAATTATATATTAACAAAGCATTACACAACAAAGCAACCCTCATCTTTATCTGACTCCTAAACAAATTAGAAAGAACTGGAAACAAAAGAGATAGGGCTAAAAAGTCAAATCGTGCAAATGGACAAAAGCCTTGAGCATAAGAATAAATTCAGAAAAAAGGGAAAGGATTTAAAAACTAATGAAAAGCAGGAAATAGACAAATATGTCCTAATATTGATACTTGCTGTTCCACAGTAGATACCATAAAGCAGGATAGATCCATTTTCTTGAATAAAAAGAAGAAATAATATTCAAATGGAATGAATATGCCATATTCCAAGAAAATTAACACAGAGCAAAAGGGGTCTTTTTAAAGTTGTTAGACTTAGAATAAGGAAGCCTATGAGTATTCATGAAGAAAAGCAAGCCATTTATAATGAGGGTAACAAAATCAGACTGGTGTTCACCATGACAACTTTCAATGGCAGAAGGTAATGAGACAGTAACTAATAGGTGCTGATGGAGATGCAATGTAATTCAAGAATATAATAGTTGTTCTTCACATATGAAGGCAACAGGTAAATAGGCAAATTCAGAGAAGAATTTACAGACTAAAAGATCCACAAAGCCTTCTGGGACCTTACTGCCCCAGTGCAGACTCCAACAAAACGTCCTGGAGCTCATTCAAAGGAGGAATGAAGGAGCCCTAGTAAAAAGATGAATGCAGTATTAAATGTCAGAAGAGAGCATGGTGGTATCTGCAGTGCACTGAGGAACCAGGTAACACAGGCATATCTTATACACAGGTTTTCTTACTAGCTGAAAGACAGCACACATTCTCAAACATGCCATAATGTATGAAACGGACTGCAAGGAGCTTAGAAAATATCCAATGAATTAGTATGCCTAAAGAAACTAAAGATCAGGCACAAAGCACATTAGTGTAAAATGCTTTCAGCCAAGTGTCAGGTGGAATAACAGTGATGAATGCTCCACTCTTGGACTTTCTAACTCTTTGGGTACCATACTGATAGCTTTGTCTCCCACAATTTTAGCTTCTGTTCTCTGTGTGGAGCCCCAAAGCCAATACTGTAACTTTGGGGGTTCTGTTTCAATAGGCATTTTGAGCTCACTGTGAAAGAGGAAACCAAAAGGATTAGACATTGAACTTTTAAAAAGTCTCAAATGTTTTTTTCTGAATGGGGCATTTCCAGGATTCTTTGGGTCTAGTAAAGATTAGAAAGTTCTACAACCATGCCACATACGGATGATAGGTTGCAATGCTTAAGCAGGAGATTCATTAATGACCTTGGTTTAAAATAAGCTTTTGGAGCCAGAAGCTACTGGCAGTCCT